AAGAGGAGAAGCTATGCACAAGGAGCTTTCCACAGGTGATGAGCAGGTAGAAGGGTGCAAGACCTGGCATGGGGCAAGTAAGCCCTGGCTGCTGTTGTGTTTAGCCAGGTAGAGAGAAATGTGGATAGGGACGATAAGAAAAATGAGAAGCTGAGAGGAATGGGGAATATGATCTGGATGACTCCACAGTGCAGAGCACACAGAGAGGCTGCTATATGAGGTTGGAACACATACTAACTGCAACATTGCTCAATACTATCAGTTTACACCTACATATACACACGTACATCCATGCAGCAGTGAGAAACCTCTGACCAACAGATGATAGAGCAGAATTTTTGAAAGTGAGCTCTGATTTTCAGACACTGAATATTCACCACTTCCAAAATTAGGAAGAGGAAAGAAATTAAGCAATGGTACAGCTACTTATTATTTTTTAAATATCCATGCTGTATGGTCAATTCTCATGAATAACAAACTCCAAAAACAATTACAAAATTAAGCACCTACAACCACCAGCATAACACATGGGATTTATTATTTATATGTTATGCTAATACAATGGATATGATTGTTATCAGAGCACTATAGGATATAGCATTAAAAACATAACAGCCTGCAGTAATTATATCCTTCAGGTTTCACAAATATTTCCATAGGCAGAATGGTGCTTTGTTTGCCTGCATTTACTTCTCTGTCTTGCAAATACAAATATGTGGTCAAGGCATCTGCTCAGCCAAGAGCTGTGACTGCTGATTCAGGTACAGTTTTTCAGCGCTATGCACAACCCATCTGAGTAACTGAGTACACAAATCACCAGTCAAATATGTAAATTCTTTACACATTTATGATGATCAACAGTCACCGAACCAGCACAAAGCTCAGACACCTCTACATGAAAAACAGACCTGTGACTTGTTTAGAACAGAATCTAACAAAAGAGAATGAAGAAAATATAAAGTAGTCTATGTTGCTTTTAGGTTCTAATTATTCTTATTATCACCACTTAGAACTGTTTGGAAAAGAAATACAACATTTTACAATTAGACCCCTGATCTACGAAAGCACTTGAGCAACTGTGTAACAGAGCATGTGAGTAGTCACCTTAATGAAATTACTACTTATATACATGAATTATCCACTCATTTTAAGTGATTTGCTGGATCGAAGTCTTTCTGTTTCAATTAGAGCAGCAGAGTTAAGGTAATGTAGCAACACCAGTTTGGAGAAAATAGCAGACCAAAGGTGTCTGTATTAATAAATATATTCTCAGAAGGGAAAAAAAAATAAATTATATATGTAGAAAGTGCCCATGTAACTACACAGCATCAACCTAGAAGATTAAAATGAATTTTGTTTGTTTTGTGTATGGGCTGAAGATGTTAATGCTTCAAGAACTTGGACAAAAGCCTCACTATTTAAAATACCACTTCTGCTTTTTAACTAAGGTAAACATTATAATCTCCAATGTAGCCTACTCAAGCACCAGAACAGTTCATTCAAAGCAATGCATTCTCTTCTGAAATATTTTAGTATTATAATTGAAAATTGTCTCCCTCAGATGCACCTGAGAAGCATTAACTTCTTGGTGACTTTAAGAACCAAATCCTTTAATACAAACGTAGCTTTTCCCACAGGCAGTTGAAAATATTTAGCATTTTTTCAGTTGAATGCAATTTTCATAATAAAGTAACTCAGTCAGATACCTGACACCACAGACAAAGACACCAAGTGAGCAGCTCCTGCCAACCTAGGCAGAGCATGATAGCAACCCCCAGTTACATACATAAGTAGGCTTAAACATCCAATTGCTGTAACAATTCAAGTAATGTATGTGACTGTTATACATTATATTCACTATTTGTAACACATGCGTTTTATTCCTCAACATGCAGATATTACGTATTGCACTGTCTCTCAATCAACCTTAACGGAGGATACAACAGATCTTAAATACCTGTAATATTAAATTCTACCCCTATGACCAGTTTGAGGACATCAAAGCTGCCCTTTGCTACTCTAAACACAATCTGTATGCCTAATTTTAATTTTAGGGGCTATTAATCAGAATTTGTTTGATATAATATCCCTTCTGCTACAGATTCCTCCATGTAAAAACACCCCCCTTTCTGAATGGCACCAGTCCTTCACTACTGATCGCTACTGATGCTGCCTCCCAACCTTTAGTTAACTCTTCAGTTAAATTTCATTGGTAAACCTCTCAAAAAAAGTATAGGAATGAGGTACATTTAGTTCTGCACCCAAATACTCAGTCCAGTCTATCAAATCCAAAATGTTCCTATTTAACTGCATCTCTGGCAGTTTCAAGGGTATTATTTTAAAACTCCAGCGTATTTTGCTAAACCAAGCTCTACAATGATCCTGTTTTACTTCCATCCACTTAGCCTGTTAATGTAGGCTAATACTGCATGTTCTTGTGGCAGCAAAACCTAAAGTGTACTGGGAAGCTACAGTGATAGATTACATGTACATGCTGTGTCATATCCAATTAACTCAAATTGACTGTGTACTGCATTATGCTGTTAGTGCATGGAAGATCAATAAATATGGAGAAAATCCAAGGAGGCTCTCTCCGTTCCCATCCAATTCTAGTGGGTCTGAGACAGATCATGCTCCTATGATGTGTATGCTGCTGCTGAAGAGGGCAGGTGGTGCATAGACACCATTCAAACTTGGCCTATTCAATCTAAACTCCTCTAACTCGCCATTCATGCATAGCAAAACACCATCTGGTCCTATTTTGCCTCCAGCAATCACAGCTGACCAAAAACGATAATAACAGCTGTTGCAAAACAAAAGCCAAACAAAGGGGGGAGGGAAAGGTTAGAATGAAGTCCACTGCTGCAAAATACTCCATGAAGTGAGAAATGGAAAAGGAACCATTCAAATAGTCAATCCCCATTGAAAAGAGTCAGTGCAAAACTTCTGGTTAAACTTGAGATTTTTAATCCATCTGTCCTGCAAATTACAATGGTCAGGTGATAACATAAAATTAAGAGTATGTTGCACAGAGGTATTTAAAGGCTTTGTTCTGCAAGTTAGAAACTAATGACCCTGTGTCAGCTAAAAATTAAACCTCCTTATGTTCTTTCATCATGTGTCAACCTGGGTTAATGTGAAAGTAGAATGTGGTTAACCAGGGTGATAAAGCATCTGAAACCTTGGGAAAAGAAGGGAGCAGTTAAATGCTTGTAAATGATATGAAGGAAAACATTATTTAAACCATGCATAACACTGAAATCATATGGATACTTCATTTTTCCTGCATAAATTGCATATTAAACTACTTAAATTAACAGTTTTATTTATGACATGATAGCAAAGTTACTCACTTAGACTTGGGGAATATGAACACCAACTTGCACAGTTTGAAACACAAGATGTTCTGCAATATGCTATTGTGGGTAATGTAAAATATAATTTTGTAGTAAGCAGGGAGATGCTCCAGTTTTTCAAGATTCAAATTTTGATATTTAAAATGTATGGTCCTGCTTGATGATTAATTTTGGTTTGTTTTTTTTTCTGCAGTAATTAAAACTATTTTTTCCTGGAATTGAACACAGTAGTTCAGCAGCTCTTAATCAAATGTGATAAAACCCAGGATTTATGAAACCATTTAATGAGTGTAATAACACCTGCTTCTCACTGCAAATAGTTGAAAACAGACACTTCAGCTGTAATTAACTCTTATCATTAGTGACCTTTTTCCAACGATACCTCATAGGTCTTCAAAACGACAATTACAGAACTAATACACAATTACTGTCACATACAGTTTAGCAACTATTTCTGAAGACATTTGTCTAAAGGTTTCAAAACAACTATAAAATGGTTCCCTTTGTTATGTAACATTGGTTAAAACTGACACACACAAAAATCTCTACCAGTCAGCCATTTATGATGCAGGCAGACTTCCTCGTACCTAGAATAAATGTCCTCTCTCCCAGACATTAGTAGATATCATACTAAGGCTATAAGGAGCAGGGGTAGCTGTCAACACACACCTATTATGAAAAGCTTCAATTTATACATGATTTTTTTCTGCTCCAAGAAATCTATAAATTTATAATTAGACTCTTTTGCTGTTCAGTATTTATACATAATAAACTGAGTATCTGAGGATGATGAAATATTGAAAGCTGAGTTTGTTATTAATAAACTCACACAGTGTAGTACCTTTTCCCTCAAGTCTGGCTGCAACTTTTTGGGGATCTGTATTCCATTATTTTTTTGCTGTAGTCCGAGCACGGTAGTCATAGACATCTCCTCAAACAGGATTAGGATTCTGCTCAGGTTTGACACTTGCTGGTTTTAATTTTCATTTTATCATAAGCAGTTTAAGATTGTTGCCAGTAGTAATTTGCAATTTTTATCAAGACCTCTTCATTATAGCTTCTGACAGGACAGATGCTGTAATTAATCATGCCAGACAACTGGGGATAGTGGTCAGACTGCATTTGCTGCACAGTTACTGCAGCCAAGGAAGGGAAAGAAGAAAATAAAGAATGTATCCTATTTTTCCAGAGTGAAACAGCACTAATAACCTGACACCACATAGGGTGTGAATGTTTCCAAACCCTTCATATGCGATACCCACCCTCTCCATCTCTCCTCTACCATGTCCTACTTTTATGATAAAAGACAACTCAGGATCAGCGAAACTCTGAGTTGGGGGCTTACAGAGGGGAAGCCCATGGCAGGAGTTGTGCTTACATCTGAAATGGAAAGATACAAAGAAAACCACAATTTGTGCTTGTCTCCAAACACCACTGCTGAGAGACAGGTTCTCTATGGTGCTCCTGCAGATAAATGCAACACAGGGTACCATGAATGCTTTGTAACTCTACCACCTGCCTTCTCTGAGAGACATACACAACTCTTCAGCAGGTACAAGAGCTGATCACACTCTTGGATCCCATCAGTACCTGCTTACGCAGTATGTGCATAAAAAAAATCCAAAACATGAACTAAATTTTCCTAGAAAGTGTTTCCATAAGGCAACGTTTCCAAGTTTTCTATCAAAGACTCATGGCTCATTGGTTTTACTGAAATGTGTTTATTCTATAGCAAGATAAAAGCATTTATTTTAGATAAGCAAAATACAAACAACTTAATTGCTGCTATCATAACTCATAAAAAAGTATAAAACAGCATAAAAACACAATAAGCAATGTAGCAATTAATAATTCATGTTACCAGTGTTTACATTAAAGCCTCATTTATGAAAACTTTACAACACATGATATGAAAACTTACAACTTTTAAAGAAAATATTTACATTGATCATTCGGTGGAGTTTCATTTAAATATTCCACTGCTTTTACAGCGTATTAAAAACTCTTGCTTTCATCTCAGCTTTCTGTAATAACAGTTTTATTTAAGTGCATTCCCCTTTTAAAAATACAGTGTATTCCATCTGAAACGTATCACTTCAACACAGAATATAATATTCACATTTGTTCTGTAACTGGAATTAACGTAAGAGTGTTAATGTCAATATATATTTTCTTACAGACTATGATAGGTTTATTTGTAGAAATGAAGTGAAAGGTTGTTTCGAACATTTAAGTTCAGCTACTTGCATTCTGAAGACATGTAGGAGAGAAAAAACTTAAGAGCTTTGGCAAAAATCTGTGATTTACTCTTTTTTTTTCCATGACAAAAATGCCATCAACTAATTCATGTTACACAAGTATGATTGTATGAAAACCAATCATCATTTTACAGGTAGTTACAACTGTGCTTTAAGGGCTTCATGAGTTCATACTGCCTTGAAGTGCACTACTCACTTTTAGAGAAAGAAAGATTGTATCTTAAAACTCTGCAAGGCCATTTTGCAGTCATAAGGTTCAGGTATTTATTAGGCCATTTGATTCACATATTGCAGGTAAAGCTTAAATAAATTAAAAAGGCATCACACGAAAAAGAGCACAGCTGCTTTTTTTTTTTTAACAAAATGATTTATAGTCAGCTAAAAGATGATACACAGCTACATTGTAGTTCTTTATTGCCTATCTAATAGACACTTCAGAGCATCATTTGATCTGTTATGCATCCCTGCATAACTACCATCAACAATTTACAGTTTTTAGCTAAATATGGTTTATTCTTATCCCCTTCACCACTAAAAAGCCATGTTACAGGATCATTTCTTTTCAGAAAATACTGACCTGTGATAACACTTGAGTCTGTGTCTGAGATTGTATTTGTGACTGGTGCTGCTGAGGTGCTGGCTGAGGGCTCCCAATGGCAGGGATGGGAGAAGTGATCTGAGAAGCTACCGGAGAGTGCTGCTGAGGAGAAGGCTGTGACTGATGTTGCATGTGCTGCATTTGCTGCTGCTGCATTTGCTGAAGCTGCATGTGCTGCAGTTGCTGTTGCATTTGCTGTTGATTAATATGCTGAAGATGCTGATGCTGTTGCAAATGCTGTTGCATGTGATGCTGAAAATGCTGTTGTTGCATTTGCTGTTGTATTTGCTGATGCATTTGATGCTGATGTAGCTGCTGCTGTTGCATCTGCTGCATCTGTTGCTGCTGGAGCTGCTGTATCTGCTGCTGCTGGCTTTGCATTGATGGACTGACTTGAGATGGAGACGGCATTGCCACCATATTTGTTCCCATAGAGCTTATCAAAGGGGCAGCAATGTTTGTTGGCATGTTTGGTGCAATTGTAACAGAAGCTACAATCTGATTCATCGGCAGTCTCATGGTTAAAGGTTTTGGAGCAATTGCTCTTGGAAGGGGCTGTTGAAGAGTTTGCGGAGACGACGACACTGTTGCATGTTGAGAAAGAGAAGTATTCAGAATAAGGGAGGAAGACAGATTTGTGGATGCCAGCGTTTGCTGAACAGAACGAATTGTCTGGGCCTCAGCAGATTCAGCAGCGGCCTGTGTTTGGAAAATAAATTAATTTTATTTTTAACAAAAGAGACATTGCTACTGTTTACAAGAAATAAAAGACACAGGTACTCAGGGAGACTTTCTCTTCTTTTGTTTTCTATCAGAAAAGATCACTGATTCACTGAACCATTGTATAACCTCTTCATCTGTCTCTGTATGATACATCCAGTTCTTTCTTGGACAAAAAACTAACTCATGCACTTGTTCAACACCAGAAAGTCACAGATGTCACATACCTTTTGTGGCTGAAAGAGCTAAAAAAGGCCAAACACTTTCTATATGTTTTCAAAAACCCCTGGTTCTTTGGAAGACAAATCTCAGCAGAAGCATATGCCCCCGCACCAGTTACAGCATAAGAGTTTATAAACAACAAAACTTCTCACGCAACTTTTAAAATTTGCTTGTAGATTTTCACATCTAAGTAATCAAGACCAAGGTATCTGCAAGAAACAAAAGCCTAAGGGAACACTATCAAGACATCCAACTGAATACCCTGGAAGGGATTCAGCTGCATCAGAGAGTGCCCTGCTTAGGGAATGCTGCCTTTTTTTCCAGTGTCCTGGAGGTTTCTGATAAGACATATATGAGGGAAAACTACAGTCCAAAAAGGTCTATTGCAATAAATTGCATCCCTACTCTCAGCAACTACCTTGGATGAAAAAGCTACAGCAATTATGTCTTAAGTTGGAGGAGGCGAGATGAAAACCGGCCTTGACTTAGAGTGCAATTTCCACTCAGACTTCCCACAAGTTACTTGGCAGCCCAGGTCCCACGGATATCGGGAGAAAATTATTTCTGATGTTTTTGAAAAAGGAACTTAAGACTGCAGAACTAAATTCCCTCAAAGGTATTTAGAATTCTAGCTGCCATTGAAGTTAGCATTGTGATACTAAACACTTTGAGAATATTATCTAAGTCCTAGAGACAACAGAAAAACACAGCTTTTCAACACAAGGAGAAGAAATTTTCCAGCTTTCAGGAACACATGTATAATGTCTGCTGTTGTATTTTTAATCAATAATTAAAACACACAGCAACTTTCTGTGTGATTTACTAATGCTCTGCAGTTGTATGTTCAAATAAACATCATCAGGAGTTAGATAGCATCACTTCCTTCTCTTGCTTTCTTGATATCAAAGATATTTTTGTAATTGATCTTTATGAAATATTGGTAGAGAAATAACTACCTTGATTAACTTTTAATCATGTTTTAGATGTCCATAAGCATATTTCCGTTTATGGTATTCAGATGCAACAGATCTACAACCAGAGTAGTGCTGCTGCTTAGAAAGGTAAGTTCTCAAATAAGACAGCAGAGCTTTGTTTTCTTCACAAAGTTTTATTTTACTTCAGCATCCACTAAAATACTCCATATAGCTTTGTGCCAGCTAGTCTATTTGTAGGTACTCTCCAAATTCAGAGCCACCACACATTTCTTCCCCTCACCTGCAAGAATCACTTAAGCTTTGCCATGTAGTAACTGCTCTCCAGCTCCACACAAAGCAAGTCCATCTTTTGAGGAGCACTTGAGGAAAAAACAAAACTCTGCAAATAGCTTGCAAATGTTAATGTCAGAAGGTCACTGTATTTTTCATGACTGAATTTTACTTTTGCAGTGAAGTGCATTATTTTGCCACCATAAAGGATTATGTACATTTGCAAAGTTATTGTTTGGTAATCATTACTGTGCCATTGGAGAGATGACTTTTCTTTGCAGACACTAAGCAGGGTTCAAGAAGCAGCACAACATCTGGTAGAGCTCTATTAATGCAATCCTAGGATTCTACTTCTATTTTGCATAACACCACACCCCCCACCACCAATATTTAAACACCACTGCCAAAAGCTAACTTCCATTGCATGGAAGGCATTATTAGGCTTACCTTAGAAACAAGGCTTGCTCTATAGGCTGCAAGTGCCTTTAGATACTCTTTTTTGGCAGCTTCAGTTTTTCTTTTATACACCTGTTAAAAGAGATCACAATTTCACCAACTTCAATTATTGAGGTGGTTTTGCCAGAATGAAAAGAAACAAAAAACAGAGGCCAAAATCACCAGAAAATACTCTACTGTTACATGTGCTTTTTCTTCCCTGGCTACAGACTTTCAGGTCTACCGCTGGACCAAAACTTATATTGTGAATAAAAAAGGTGGCTAGAACAGCCAACTGCTTGACAAGACTACCTATGCACACTTTACTTCCCCAGGAAATACTATCTTAATGACCCTAAGTAAATACAATATTAGAACATGGTGTATTTCAGCTCCTAAGAAGTATCTGCAGTAGTATAAAATAGCAGAAGATGTCTATGCAATATTTTTTTTAAACAAACATTCAAAATACATATAAAAAAAAAAACATCTTTAGAAAAGTTGTTTCATAAAGCTTGGACGTTTCACTTTCCCCAAAGCCAGTATGAGGGAATAAAGTCTGCCTTTAAATCATGTTCACCATCATCTGTTAGATTACACTGAAGGTTTCCAAATGTATTTGATAAACAAGACCACTCACATCTTGCTGGAAGGCATCCTATGTAAAATCTACTTTTTCATCACAGCTTCCATTACCTGTTGCTGCAAGGAGTATCAAGCAAATAGCCTCAAAGGATTTCCCCCCCTCCACTTCCATCCATGTGGAGGAGTTACTTGTGTGTTGAAAGAAGAACAACCCTCAAGGAAGAATAAATCTCATCATTCTGCACCAAGTTTGAGTTGGAGGTAACATTTTACACACGACATTGTAATGAGGCAGATGATTGCCTTCAAAGGCTGGAAATCAATACGCTTTGTAACAAATTCATAAGGCAGATAAAGGGAAATACTAAATGTGCTGTACCTTCCCCTTTTCTAACTTACAATTAATAGGAAACAAGAGCTTTGAAATAGGAATCATCAAAAGACAGTCTGAACAGGTTTCTAGGACAGTATCACCTGAGATTTTTTACAAACTGCCCTTTAAAATTTGAAGACAAACACAGCCATTTAATACTACCTACTGCCTCTTATAACAAAATGCTTTTAGGTACCAGGTCTTCAGCAAGTTCAAAAATCAGTATAGCTCTAAAAAGGAAGAGGTCTACATCAGCAAGTAGCATGTTCTACTCAGAATAAAGGTAAGAAGATATTTTTTTACAAGGATTACTATTTTACTTCTTGCCCTGCATCAATTTTTTACCTGTTTCTGTTCTTCTCCTAAACTGTCCCACATAGAAGCCACTATTTTTGAGACCTCTCCAAATGTAGCATTCGGGTTCTGCCCTTTAATTGCAGCTTGTGTATCCCTGAAAAAAAGGGCATATGCTGACACTGGCTTTTGTGGCTCATTGGGATCTTTCTTTTTCTTCTTCTTAGGAGTCTTGGGCTTCTTGCCAGAATCTGGGGCAGCTCTTTTTTCTCCAGTAGCCTAAAAAATAGTAACAGCGAGAACAGTCAATATATGCATGAAATAAGGTTAATTATGAAAAAATTACTGACAGTCTGGTTTAATAATATATGGGTAAAACTACTATGTAGGCAATATTTTGGAGAGTCCCGTTGCGCAAGACTTTCTCCTCCCAAACAGTTCTTAATTTCATCAGATCTACTGGAACTAAATGTATGAATAGTTACTACTCCTTGTAAGCATAGCTGAGAGAGTCAAATCTTCCAAGCCTGACCTGAAAAAATACACCCTAATGCTAATTTGTATTAAAAAATAACTAAAGGAAAAAAAAACCAAACTACAGTATATTTTGAATTGGCAGCCTATGTTTTTCTATTAAGATGTAATTTCAGCAGCAGAGACTTAGAAGAGCTTGGAGGTATTTCCTGATTCCCACACTTAGACTATCAAGTAAGACATGGGTCAGAGGTTAAAAAGCCCACTCTTCAGGCAAAAAGCAGTAGCAACTCTGCTGCTTCTATCCACCTGCAGCAAACACCCACTGTGTCCAGCACACACCTCCGATGCCCCAGTGCAGGGTCAGGTGCCCATGCAGTACCATTGGAGGCTCAGGTCACTGCCAGGCACTGGTACTGCTCCTACATCTCCCTCTTGCCCCTGGGATGGGGAACCCCCACAGGAGCACACCAGCATACAGGTAATTCTGGTCCCTGCATGCACCTCCTGCCCTGTACCATCTTTCATTGAACTATGCACAGATTATTGCAACAAGGGAATAATGTGGCTCTAAATATACCTCCATGATATACATTTTACCTTGATATTTTGAGGATCCTGTGTAATGATCTTTCCATATGCACAATTTCCATTAACTTGATGAGAAAACCTGTCATGGAACAGTCTAAACTATGCCCTTTAAATATACTGATATGATAACGTTTGTGCTTTATTTTGTTGATAAAATTTTCCTTTTATAACAGATTTATTTAAAGCAGTGTAAAATGACTAAACTTTCAGTTAAAAGAAAGCTTATTTTATTTCTGTCTAAATGCATCTATGTTTTATACGACTCTAAAGAATACCAAAATGACAAAACTGTCCAAAGTTTCACCAGATCTATAAAATCTGAAATAAATTATGAAAGTATTAAACCATATATATATATATATATGTATGTATATATATATATACAGTCGGGGTATTTGCAATACACAATGGAGCTGTGAAAACAGTGCTCTGGATGCTAAAACTTTACATGGGATTAGAAGGCAACACGAGAAGTTCATGAAAGAAAATTTCTCTGCAAGTTATTAACTACAAAGACATCACTTCTGGCTCAGCAAGTACCTGACCACAAAACATGCTCTGGAGAAGTACCATTCTTGAAAGGGGCCTACACGGATGCTGGAGAGGGACTCTTCATCAAAGACTGTAGTGATAGGACAAGAAGTAGTGAATACAAACTTAAAGAGGGGAAGTTCAGGTTAGATATAAAGAAGAAATTCTTTACTGTGAGGGTGGTGAGGCACTGGAATGGGTTGCCCAAGAAGTTGTGAATGCTCCATCCCTGGCAAGTGTTCAAGGACAGGTTAAACAGTGTCTTGGGTGACATGCTTTAGTGTGAGGTGTCCCTGCCCATAGCAGGGAGGTTGGGAGTAGTGGATCTTAAGGTGCTTTTCAACCCTAACTATTCTATGATTCTATGTATATTTTTACATTTATCATTATAGAGTTATTACGGAAATGTCTGAAGTGGCTAAACAGGAAATTAATCATATTTCACTATATTGTAACATTTGTATTTTATATGACCAAACTGCAGCTGAGATGATCCTGCCACCTGCCACATTCATGAAAATATAACATATAGACATGTAAGGCTTACTCACTACAGTGCCAGCAACAACTTACTCTATTTGATTCATCTGCATCTTCTTCATTTATAGAGCTGGATGGGGAAGGAGTGGCTGATTTACTGGCAGGTGGGGAGGGAGAAGTGTGTGGCAAATTAGTGCCTCCTAAATTTAGCCCCAGCTGTGCACTTAGCTGAGACTGGTTAATGGTGGTTAGCTGAGAAGGAGGCATAATTCCCGAATGAGTAGCATCAGTCATGTGGACAATAGATCTCATAATCAGAGAGTGATCCTGGCGATACTGGGAAACTTGTGTGTGACTCTGATCCTAAAAGAGATTGAAACAGTATTTAGTCATTAGCAGTTACCATATAGAATGATCAGGTAAAGTTACTTTCACAGGCTTACAGAACTGACTTGCAGAACTGTCAATTTGCAGTTTGGTTTGTTTCTTTTTTGACAAATTAGATGCATTTTTAATAAATTAAATGCAGAATCAGTTTCTACACTTGCTCCAGACTTCACTTCTCCCCCCCAGTTGTGAATGAGGGTTTTTTTGTGGAATAAAAATCCCCATTTTTAAACATTTCTTCCCTTGATGCAGTGTGAAATACCCAGATAAACAGCAGGGAAGCAGGCTGACTGATGACATGGGGAAAACACTGTAACTGAGAAGACACAAACTGCCATCAAATACAGAAAGTAAACAAAACCAGGGAGGGGGACATATACAGAAAGAAAAGCATTTTTCCTTTACTGACACTCAATTATTCTTAGCTGTTACTAGTAATAGGAGCAGGTATAAAACAATCCTGTCTGAGTGGGATTTTAAAGCTGATTTAAACAAAGAACAGTTCCCAGACAGGTCTCAAGTGCAGACACCGCAGCATGCTGGAGAACGTAGTCATCCTAACCACTCCTAAAAAACCTTGTTCCACCACACAAAACTAGACATTTTTATCTTTAGCAGTCAAACACATGTGGAAGTAGCAAGCTATGTACCAATCGCCGACTTCATTTTTCTTGTACATCATGTCTCAGAAACTCAAGGACTCGCTTGGCTGTGTTTCTAGTTTCCTGGGGACACAAATTATGTCTTCTTCTACATCTGCACAACACTTACCACGTTTATAAATTAAAAGCAAGACACTGAAGGAAAAGCCAACTGGAATCTGCGTATGAACAACTCAGTTTTCTTATTTTCAACCACACACAGATCAATACACAATGAATAAACTTTTGAACAGAAGATTTTTTTCAACAGTTAAGACAATAAATAGCTCACAAATTGATTCAGCAACCTGATTAATCTATACCCATTGTTTGAACAGACAGTAACATGAGAAATAAATTAGATTTTGAAAACTTCTTCATTATTAATAACCTGCATTGCAATTAGTAGCAGGTGCAATGATCCTTAATGAAATGACACAGAACAAAGAAGCAGTGCTGGGCCCCTGGTGTACAGTCCAATGGACTTCCACAACAGAGTATGACCTTCCCAGTGCTCTTTTCTTAAAATAAGCCCAAACCAGTTTTCAAATATCTGTGTTTTCACTGAGGTAAGGTTAGCCCAAGAGACTTTCCTTGTACATTTGTACAACTCTTCCTGAACAGAGATAGTGGTTCTGTGCTCACGAAAGCCTTTTCTTGGATGGGACAAGTGCAGCCGTACAAAGAAGCAATACATATGTTAGAGAAGATGCACAACCTGCCTCATCCATCTTATGTACAAGTGCTACAGCACCCTGCTTCCCTGTAGCAATAAATCATATTATTTGGTATTCATGTGTCTTTCTGCTGATGCCTATACAGAAAAAGAAACCCTTCTTAGCACTGAAGTACATATGATGTTGCACCTGGATCCAGTACAGAGGAAGGTAACCCCATGAGCTCATAATCCAGATCCTATGCACTCTTACCCTCATTCTCCCTGTGCTTCCCAAGTAATTATCAGTTTGGCTCATCATCCATACAGCACCATGCTGTTTCTTCTACTTCTTAAATTCTTTTCATATTTTCAGTAAAGGAGTGTGCTTCCTTAGAGACGATTGCATGTGCCAAAAGTGGAGCACTTGATACAGAAAGATCAAAACATGAGACTTATTGGCTGAAATACCCATTTGCTTCAGGGCACCCTTCTGTGAAAATTTACTATCATTAACTACAGGGTCATTTTGACTGTGACTTGTATTGGTAGTGGCATCTGGAAGTCATTCAAAGTCTTTTCTAAAAGGATATCACTTTCTGCATATTACTCCATTCATTTTAGCTTACAGGCATTGCGTGAAGAAAATCTCTGCTGCTAAAGCAAAGGCGCAGATCATCAGAATGATCATTTCTCTTTGAAATGAACTTTTGTCATTATTTTTCAGGTAGAACTTTCTTGGAGGTGTTCTACACCTAAAAGGCTAGCTTTTGTTCTCTCTTCATTGTTACACAATACAGGCTTTTCTGTCTTTTACACTGAGGCAACAAAATGTGATGACGTGGGTTACAAACCATTTACTCCAAGTCTTGTCATTTTGGTTGCATCTCTGATTTTACTGAGACTAAATTCTCTTGACTTGCACTGACCCAGAATCTAATTTTATACACACTCCCATGAATTCTTAACTGTCCCTTTTTCTGACACTATTTGATGCTTGTACAGTTTTTTACATCCATTTATTCCAGATTTTCTTTTCTGGATCTCTTCCTAATTTTTTAAGCTTTTTTGTTTGGTTGTTTTTTTTTGTTTGTTTGTTTATCTTAAAATCTTTATTAAAAGCTAAAAGTGGAAACAACAATATTTTGTAGCTGGCTGTCTAGAACCAGACAGACAAGGCATGAAATAAATATTTCATGACATACCATATGAAATAAAATATTTTCTATTATTTCCAATCTCTTATAATTCACATGCACTTACGCTTATGTACATTTGATACTGACAATGTATTTTCTACACTTTTAATTTAAGTTACATGGCTAATCAATATTTAGAAAATGGCAAAGGAATGGAGATTTAATTTTTTACTGTGTGGTATGATGCTGTGGGCCTCAACCTAATGTATCTATAGAATAGCTTTTAGACAAGGAAGTATAACCCATTTTTTATGTTTGACAGTGGTTTGACAAGTAGCAAGAAGTTAGGGGAGCTAGTCAATAGCAACATGAAAGTCCACAGCATTTGTATATAGCTCCTGAGCAAACAAAATCTTCAAAGAAGGAATCAAGAAAACAAAATTTCCATCAATTATCTTAACTCTTATTTTTTCACTTACACTACAAAGACCAGTACTGAACCAAAAGGATCTGCAGCATTTCATTATGCACAAAATGTTTATCAAAGAAGTGATTAACAATGAAAATCATTTATAACAGGGGCACACACAGAAATACAAGTGCACTATCCACATGACATCCTAATTACATTACTACATGAAAATTGAAAAGCTCATGAATTCAAAATAATCCACTGAGAATACCATGAAAATTTTAAAGACTATCACAAGCTCTTTTACATAAACTTAACCAGACGTAAAAGTGATACATAAGCTTTATAAGCATTTAAGATTTTTGTAATATTATGCAAAAAATGACAGATTAGTTCTGACAAAAAATCATGAACTTCTCAAGTGGACGGAATCGAGTTTTGATTGAGCCTGATCTGCTTTACAGTCTTGGACTGAAGCTAGGCAAAACTTGGTGATTTTAAACACAAGTCAGGCAAAAAACTCAATCACTGATCTACTCAGCATGACAATCAGGCAAAGATATAATGTGTGAAACAGAAAACCAAAGAGAAATAACTCATGTGATTCCTCCACAGAATAAAATGACTTGGATCTCTCTCTTGTTATCTTACATGAGTGATACAAAAAACCCAAAGGTACAGATACATTTACTGAGGGGAATGTCAGCTACCTGTATGGTCTCTTCAGTTATACACAGGGATGAAAGAGGCAAAGTACTATCCAAAATCTTTCTCCCTTCTCAAAACGACTTTATGGCAACTATACCTAGGCACACTGGATTTCTGTCACCACTCTCTTACATGGCTCCAAAAGTACACATTAAAAAGGCATTCAGCATTTGATGCATACTAGGCCTCATCAAAGGAATCATAAGGATATCCATCCATCAAACTACCCTACTTTCAACTATTCTAATCTATTTAGACAGTTATGCCAAAGAAGTCATACTTGGGCATACTGCTAAAGTACACTTCTCACGGTATATGCCGTATCTATAGCTTACTTCGATTTGCTAAAGTAAAAAATTGACAAAATATTAATTCCTCAACAGCCACTGGAAAGCAAACAACAGACTAACGAGACCTAAAAAAACGTAATGCTGTGAACTCCCATGCTTTAATTTATACAGTATGATCCAAGGTGGTTTTCAATAATTAGTGTACCTGAGCCAGCAGAAGTGAAAGACACCATTGAGTAATAAGGGAAAAAATAAGGAAATAACAGAAGAATGAACTTTCTTTTATCAACATCCAGTTGTTAATACAGCTAGTAATACAGCTCGTATCTGTTTTGACAGCTAAATGTATCCAGCCATTACATCAAGATATGCCCCAATTTCCACTAACCCTGCATTTTGAGAATCATTTATATGCAGTAGTTTTATCCTGTTTTATCCCTGTTACAATTTTAATCTCTATGAATAGTTAACATTATATTTTAAAATATAACTAGGAAATTACTTCTTTAGAACATTTTGAGTAACCTTGAAATCTTGATTAAAATCAGTGTCTACAGCCCTCAATCATTTAAATAGGCAACAGCTCCCTAGTTAAACTCTGTAGCCATGCCAGGACTGAGCCCATGGAAGTGCCTACAGGAACATGTAGGGCTAGGATCTGCTCCTATACCACATGAGCTAGTTTAAGGAAAATGAGAAATCTGCCAACAAAAATATCTATGCAAAATCCAGCATTTATGGTTATGCTAACTGTGCCCTGGTTTCAGAAGCTGACTTAAAACATTATATATTCTATTGCCTAAGGAATTTATCACTGTCAGTGTAACATAAGCTGATGTAATATTTTAAATGATATGTTTAAGTTGAATGAAATGCACTGCAAAGCATAGTGAAATCTTCACTTGTCCCTGTCTGTAAATTACTCCCCTTACTTTGGGGTAAATCAGCATATATCTATAAGAAAACCTTAATACTCTTTTTCTCCACAAGTAAAGTATAGCTAAAAGAATCCAATTATCTAAATTTTTACTAGATTGGAATTCAATGCCAATCAAAACAAATCAAACTAACAGGATGCTTTTCTCTGTCAGAGATTAAATCCTTACCTAATAGAATACCAAAGAGTTGCAC